CTGCTCTTCACCTCCTCCAATCAGCAATGGGAGGCATGATGGTGAAGGTGTGGAAAATTTTGCTTATAACTCAACGGTGACATACAGCTGTGCCCCTGGATTCCAGCTCCTCGGGAATGCGAGCATCCGCTGCACGAGCACGGACAAAACCAACGGAGTCTGGAGCGGAGCTGTGCCCAAGTGCAAAGGTGGATTCATCCCAATTTTCTCTTTATTACTATTTAGAATTTATTATGAGTTCGGTATTTAGGACGAATCGGCTCAAAACATTGTGATTGTGTGGTACAGGGCATGTCAAACGTCAGTAATAAGGCAATTTTAAAGAGGAAAAAATGCAGTGCTGGAGTAAGAACAGAACTGTGCAAGCAAGACCTAGTGCTCCCTGCAATGCTCACTCTTTGTCCCCTAGAGAAAAGCTCAGCTGTCAAACTTGGAGTAAAAAACCTGGAAAGGAGTGTCCCTCCCCAGAGTGAGTTGAAATGATTCAGCACTGAACCCAGACCCATTTAATTTGCTCCTTTATCACATTTCTGTCAAAAGGCCATTCAAGGAACTCCACACCGTGGATTTTATTCTTTCAGGTCCCCAGGGAAATGGCATCCAACCCTCTAAGAAGGCTTTATCATGGGAGAGGAAGCTCAGCCTCTATAAGAAGTCACTCCAAAACACCATCTCCTCCCCCCATTCTGGTTCTGTCTCCAAGACACCAGGTCAGTCCTGGAAGCTCATTTGGAGATCGGGGAAATTCCTCAGTGGGACTCCCTGGTTACTCCCAGCCCCAAAACCTGGAGTTTCCATTTTTCCCCATGTCTCCCTTCAGTGTCCAGGAGCTGTGCTACCTCAGCATTCAGGTTTGTCCTACCTTTGTACAAATCCCCAAAACACTCTTCTCCTGGGACCAGCAAAGGATCCGTGTGTCCTCCGAAGCACATGGGGATCTCTGGCATTCTCCCCAAATCCAGCTGCTTTCAGAACTTAAAACTCTCTAAAGTTGCATCATTTTGTGCAAGTGAGTGATTTTTTTTTTTTGGTCATATTCTTTTGTTCTATAAGTTTCCCCTGTATAATTTATATCTTTTGCTGGCTGGGCATCTGGTTCACAGCTCAAGTTTGACTGTGCTGACCTCCTATTCTTAAAAAAGCTTTGCTTGGTGTGAAATATATTTTAATTTATCATTGTTTCCTTGCCCTCATGTTATCCCAGATATTTTTTTAACTCTTTTTTTTTTTTTTTGGCCATTTTGAAAAGCAAGAGATGACTTTGCACCACCTTAGGAGTGCCAGGGCTCCTGCCCTTGCTCCCAAGTGCTGATGCCATCCTTGTTCCACACAGAGAGGTCGTGGGCAGCCAGGAGAAGCTGGACATGGCAGAAGTGCTGCTACACCACATTCCCCATCCGCTGCAAAGGATTATTTTACCCATGAAAAGGGTGAACTTTGGCTCTGTGGGACAAGGGGGGAGCTGTAAGAGTGTTATTGTAAGTAATGAAGCCAAAACACCCACTGGAGGGTCTCCCTACCTGGCCAGAGGGTGGGTGAAGAGTGTTTCTCTGGTGTCAGGGTCAAGCTGAGTTTGCCCACTCCTGATTCGTGTCTCTTTGGTCAAAACCAGAAAATCTGTTACCCCACCTGTGGTGGACAAACCAGCACTGGAAGGATAAAGCAGGAAAACCCTTTACCTGCTCTGCTCCAAAATTGCCCCGTGCAGTGGTTGCACCTGTTAGGGCTCTTACACTTTGCTTTAAGACAAAGACTGAGCTGGATCAGGTCTGTCCCACATGTAAAATGTAATTTTTTACCGGTGAGGTGTTTTTAAATGTTCCCAGAAATTGACTGAAAATCCCTTCTGCAAGCATTGGTCGATCCCCACATTTTCCTCTCCCACCTGAGTTTTCCTTTCAGCAGTTTTCTTCCAACCCCCTGAATCCCGTTGTGATTCCCTGCTGATCTGACCAGCCTTTTCTTTTTCAGGCTGCAGTTTCCCAGAAATCCCACCCCCCCCAAGATGTTCTGCAGGACTTCTGCAGAGCTCAGTTACGTCACAACCCCCCTGACTGAGTGTTTCCACAGCCGCAGGTTTTTTTGCTCACTAGCAACCGCCCTAAACACAGACCCAATCTCTCTGAGGAGCTGAGCTGCTCCCTCAGCTTCCCAGGAATTTCTGGCTGTAGCACAGCCTGGATGTGGATACGCCCATGGCAGCTGCCCCGAGCAGGGCTGTACTGAAAGCAAAACTTGCAGAATTATGAGCTCATTTCTTTTAGGAAGTCATAGAGTTTTAGACATTACATTGAATGTTGATCTTTATATCTTCAGTAGTTTAAGCCCTTCTTTAGCAAAAGCTGCTCTTTTTTTTGTATCAGACCTAAGTTCTTTGAAGTTTATATTTCTACTACAGGAAGATAAAGCCACAAGTGGGCTGGGCATCTCCTAATCTCATAACATAAAGGAGCTACTTCTGCTTTCCAAAGGGAGGAAGGCAGCTCAGTAATGCTGTGAGCACCCTGACTACTCACAGACACAGAAATACAACTGCTAAATATCCTGCCCAGTGTTGTCACACTGCAACAGAGAGACTGGAAATGTCACATTCACGCTGTTGGCTGCTCACCCCATCTTTGTCCTGTAAGAAACACTAAAGCCTTTCTGGGATTTTATCTACATTTAGTAATAAATGGTAATTGTTTATAAAGGATGGTCTGTGAGTTCAACTGCCTGCTGTTCCCCTGTCATGTTTTAGTCTCTTTTCAGGAAGGAATCAGCTTTTAGGAATATCCTGACAATGTTCAGATTTGCTGTTCAGTCAGTCCTTTATCAGCACTCTGAACATTTATTTTCTAAGTTAGACGTGTTTTTTAAAAAATTAGTAAAGAAAGCAAGCAAATCCATGCAGTAAAGCTTGGGAATGTGAGTGTTTCTGGTAAGTGCTCTGGAAAAGGAAGCTGGAGTGATGGATACCTGCCTTAATCCTATTTAGCCATCCTAGGATAGAGATCTGTAGCCCCTCTGCTGTGGCTCAGCCCAGGGATCAGTCCCAGAAGGTTTTGGGAGCTGAGGGCGATATCCCAGGCTGCTGCCAGTGGGAGCAAGCAGGAGGGAGCCGAGGGTGAGTTTCCATGGAAAGCCTGGAGCAACTCCAGCAGCTCAACCTCTGTTTTTGCTGGCCGGTTTTGCCGGACACCTCCCGCTGCCGCAGCCCCGCACCAAACACGGGTCAGGCTGCCCTCTGGACGTGCTCTTCTTCTGCCACCACCATCTGCTTGGTCCGATTTCTGCAGGGAGGGGATGTGGGAGCCAGATAAAGCCGGTGGCCCTCGGTGGCTGCAGCAGGGCAGGCACAGACCTGCTATCACCAGGCTCAGCTGCCGTGCGGGAGGTGCCGGTGCTCGGCCGGTTACTGGGGCAAAACGGGGCAGCAAACGTGGGTGCAGAGGGGCAGACTGCTCTGAGCCTGGTGGTGGGGCAGGTACAGATGTCTCCTGCAAGGCCTCAGGTAGGAAAACAGCCTGGCTCAAGGGTTCAGCCTGTCAGCAAGGGGGATTTCACTGAGCCGAAGCTGCAGCGCTCGGTTCTCCCGGTGTAAGTGGATCCGAACCACTCCCTGAGGAGACTCAACACCATGTGGAGTCTTTGCCAAATACTTTTCAACATCTCCATGTTCCATGCTGAAGTCACTGCCCAGAATTCAGAGTGTTGGTTTTTTTTTTTTTCTGGCTAACAGCTTCCTTTTGCTTTGTGCAGCCACCAGTGACCTGTAAAAATATGTGGCCAAGGTATGTCCATATAATTCTTCATCCCCCTCCCAAGTACGTATTTCAAAGGAGGACCTTACCCAGGCTGCCTGGGTCTCATTGCAAATGATTTCGTTACATCTGCTTGGAGCTTAAATTGTATTGGAAAGGAAAGGAAAGTGGAGAGAAAAAACTAAAGTAAAACAGGTAAGTTTGAGCTTCTCAGTGGAAACATCACTGTTTCCTGCACAGCAAAGGCAAACAGGAAGGTGCAGGTTTGCTGCTGACTGCCCTCTGCTCGGTGTGGGAGCACTGCTCAGCAGAATGGGATGAGGCAGCAAACACAGCCACAACCTTTCCTCTGGCTTTTCCCTCGAGCCCCATGGGTGGGGATCCCAGAACAGCTCCACTTTCCCCATATGGAGCCAAGGCAAAATGCTCCTGTGCCTGACGAGGCCTGAGGACACACCTGAGCCTCTTTGGGCAGCACAGCATCTCCTTCAAAGAGTTTTTAGTCTAACTGGGAGAGTTACAGTGGGAACACTGGTATCCCCACTACCCATGCATAGGGGTTAATAGAAGCAGCCCAATTAGCAGCTTCAAGGTGGGGCTGATTTAAAATTCTCTGCTCTCTTCTGGGCACCTCTCAAGCTGGAGGAGAGCCCTTGTCTCTCTGTTCTTACAGAAAAGCCTCTTTCCATGGAGGTTTGTTCTTTGGGACAGGCAGGTGAAGGTGGTTTGGGGGTCTGGCAGGGTCTGGTGCCCCTGAGCTGTGCTGGGCTGAGCCAGGTGCTGCTGGAGAGGGCAGGTGGCACCAAGGAAGAGTCACCTCTTGTCCCCACATGCAGCAGAGCCAGTGCTGGGGGACGAATGCACTCTTCACCCCCCAAACACACACTCTGGGGTGTGCCCCAGGGTCCACAGCCAGAACCAGCAAGACCCCCCAGGCTGCCCTTTTTGGTTTGGGTCTTTTCTTTTCCTTTGGGAGCTGACAGCTCTGGAGGGAGGGTTGTCTTTACTGGAAGGTGCAGAGAAACGATGCGAGGGAGAGGCTGAGGCAGCGGGTGCCCGCAGAGCCCCGCTGCATTCCTCGGGATGCCAGGCGTGCCCCGCGGAGCCGGCACGGGGGGGGAACCGCGTCTTCCACACCCACTGCCCACCGCAGGCACGGGTTTCGTCAGAGAATTTCCCGGAGCTGAGGTGGCCGGGCGGGGTGCGGGGGTGCTGCGGGAGTGGCCCCGCTGCCCATCGCTCCCCGCCCCGCGGGCAGTGCCGGGGAGACCCGCGATGGGCTCCGGCCGCTGCCGCTCGCTCCTGCCCGCGCTGCTGCTGCTGCTGGTGCTGCTGCTGGTGCTGCCCTCGGCGTGGGGTGAGCCCTCGGGGAGGGACTGGGGGTGCGGTGAGCCCGGACACCTTGTGCGTGTGCTCCGTGGGTGCGTGTGATGTGTCTGAGCGTGTGTGTTCCACGCGGGTGTGTGCCCTCGGTGTGTGTGCGTGTGCTCCATGTACATGTGTTTTGTGTGCTCCCTGTGGGTGGGTGTGTCCCCTGTGGGTGTGTTATCCCTGTCAGTGTATGTTACCCGTGTGTACGTGCTCCTGGGGCTGTGTGTGCCCTGGATGTGTGTGTGTGCTCCCTCTCCATGTGTTCCGTGTGCTCCGTGTGTTCCTTGTGGGAAGGTGTGTGCTCAGTGTGCTCTGTGCGTGTGCTCTGTGTCAGTGGATGTGCTCTGTCTGTACGTGCACTCTGTGTGTGTGTGTGCTCCATGTGTGTGCTCTGTGTGTGTGTGTGCTCCATGTGTGTGCGTGCTCCATGTGTGTGCATGTGTGCACCCCCTCCATGGGCATGTGTGCTCCATATCCATGTCCATGTGTGTGCTCCTTGTGGATGTCTGTGCTCCCTGTGCATGTATGTGCTCCTTGTGCATGTTTGTGCTCCATGTTCATCTTTGTGCTCCACATGCATGTTTGTGCTCCACGTGCATGTTTGTGCTCCACATGCATGTCTGTGCTCCCTGTGCATGTTTGTGCTCCACATGCATGTCTGTGCTCCCTGTGCATGTTTGTGCTCCCTGTGCATGTTTGTGCTCCATGTTCATGTTTGTGCTCCATATGCATGTCTGTGCTCCATGTCCATGTGTACTCCATGTCCATGTGTGTGCTCCACGTGCATGTTTGTGCTCCACATGCATGTCTGTGCTCCCTGTGCATGTTTGTGCTCCCTGTGCATGAATGTGCTCCATGTCCATGTATATGCTCCCCTGTGCATATGTGTGCTCCCTGTGCATGTGTGTGCTCCACATCATGTATGTGCTCCCTGTGCCTGTATGTGCTCCCTGTCCATGTTTGTGCTCCCTGTGCATGAATGTGCTCCTTGTGCATGTATGTGCTCCCTGTGCATGTCTGTGCTCCCTGTGCATGTATGTGCTCCCTGTGCACCTAAGCTCTGTGTGGGTGCCTGTGCTCTGTTTGCATGTGCTCCATGTGTGTGTACCGTGTGCTTCACATGTTCCAGGCGTGCTCTGCTCCACAGGCTGCCCCACTGTGTGTGCCCCACTGTGTGTGCCCCACTGTGTGTGCCCCACTGTGTGTGTGCCACACTCCCCCCCACACTCCGAGTGTGCCCTGCCCGGGGAACAGACAGAGAGGCAGCAGAAGCCCCACTAAATCCCAGTGTATTTTGCCACAGGTGACTGTGGGCCCTTGCCCAATATCAGCCACGCAGAGCCCACAGAGGACGTGAAAGACAAGCAGAGCTTCAGTGAGGGCTCCACGGTGAGGTTTGTCTGTGTCACAGGTTACACCAAACGCCCCTTCCTCTCCGACGCCGTCCAGTGCCTCACAAACTCCCAGTGGTCCCACCTCCCGGAGTTCTGTGGCCGTAAGTATTTCCCTTTCTCTGCCTGGAGACGCTTGTGGAAACATTCAGTGCTTTGGCAATCGCTGTTTCAGGGGTTTCCTCATCAGGAGTGGCCATCAGGATGAAGTGGCTTAGGCAAGGATCTCTTACTGCCCCTTTTTTTTTCCTAGCCCCCACTTTGGGGTTGGAGCCACGTGCTGGCATTTGTGTGCTAATAAAAATAGATCAGTAGCTTGGGAATGATTCAAAGAGAGCAAATTTTAACATCTAAAACTTTTTATATTAAGTAGTCATCTGAGAACGTCTTCTGATAGAATCCTACAATGGTCTGGGTTGGAAGGGACCTTAAAACTCATCTCAGTCCACCTGGTGGAAGGGACACCTTCCACTAGCCCAGGTTGCTCCAAGCCCTGTCCAACCTGGCCTTGGACACTTTCAGGGCTGGAGCAGCCACAGCTTTTCTGGACAACGTGTGCCAGGGCCTCCCCACCGCTATATAAAGAACTTTCTCCTAATATCCAATCTAACCCTGCCCTCTCTCAGTGTGAAGCCTTGTTCCCCTTGCCCTGTCACTCCATATAAATAGTCTCTCTCCATCTGTTTGTAGGTGCCTTTCTGGTTTCATTACACAAATTACCCATCACCTTCTTAAAACTATTTGTGTTATCCATATCCTTTAGTGAGGCTTGTTTGTTATCACCCGGC